AGTCATTTGTGGCAACGCAATATGATGTACAAGAGGCCCCATACCAATCCTCGTGGCACACCTTTGTACCCGTAGCATTATCACAGCGATAATGCCCAACACCGCCAGGCTTACAAAACGCGTTGCACATTGTACCATACCAGAAAGCAGCGCAAATCTTTGTTCCATTGTTGTCACAGCTATAATTGCTATATTGATTATTCTTTGGCCAGCAGTATGTTGTGCAATTTTTTCCATACCATCCCGGGTCACACTTGATGCTACTATTACTAAGGCATGAATAATGCTCATCAGACGAACTATTCCTCGGGAAACACCATAACGTGCAGTTGTTCCCATACCAGTTTTCCAAGCACACCTTAGTACCGTTATCATTGCAAAAGTAGTGGCCATTAATGTCGTCACTGTATTTACAATAAATACCACATGTAGGACCATAGTAAAATCGATCACAGTATAACTGGTATTGAATTTCTAATGTTGTCTTACTTGCATTCCTCCTACCTGTCAGGCTGATGGTATTGGATGTTATAACTGTACCATTGTAGGTCGGGATAGCGGTGATTGTCGCAGAGTGTTTGTCGATAACTTTATCACTCGAGCTGTCACCATCCCATGCTTCTATGAATACTCCAAAATCTTGCTATAAAAGGAAAAGAAAGGATATGTTTCATTTAGGAAAGTACGACTAATGTGCTTTGTGCCATGCGTCACCACTCACCACTGTGTTTATGGGTTCGGACCACCTTCCCATTGTTCAAGACCTTATCTCAGGATTCTCTGGGTTTTCGCTTCCCTCCCCCTCTCCCTCCACATACTGACAAATCGCTCTAATTTGTCGYTGGGCGCTCTAGTCATGAGTCTCTGGCTTGGGAGGCCAAGTATTTACTCATGGAGTGATCAAGAAAAACGATATCGTTTATTGAAATTTAAGTTACATTCACTAATCAGTTAGCGTAGATACACTTACTGTTTTTATGTTGAAAGGTCTTTCCACTTTGTAGTCCTTAGCAAATGTGTTTCCACCCAGTTTTCTACTGGTCTGCACACCAGACATACAGTTAGATATCGAGGTAGGGCGTGGGAATGCTGTTAGACATACTTTAAAGTAAGTATCGCACTCGCTAGCACACCAGCTATCACAACAATCATTGTTCCAGGCTGTCCCTCCTGAATTTATCATCTTTTTAAGAATAACAACGAACTTTCCTTTTCCTTTAACTGAAACCTGTTGACCAAAAGAAACAGTAAGGCTAGCAAAGTTAAAGTCAGTAGTAAAGACAAAATAGGGCTACGCAATTTAATTCGGATGCTGCTTCTTTTCTTAAACCCAAGGACCAATAAAAGACAATACCCTAGATTTCATCTTGTTTTTCTGGATCCTCGTTTAATTTCCATTTATCTTCAGACACTACAAGAGAAGGTATATGCAGGATTCGACTGATTGTGTCCTTCTGAGCCACTTATTTAATTCTTTCCCCAAAGGAACCCAGCATGACACCATGAATGTCCCTTATTCTCGGYGGGAACACAAGAAAATGTTTAAGAAATAGAAAACAACTGCGTAGCCATATGATGGCACCATGCCAACAATTTCCTCACTGCGCCATTTGTTATTCTAAAATATCTTTTTAGTTATTTTATTGTTTTAAAATATATCTGTAGTGGTTTTAAAATACGTTTTTAGTGTTTTCTATAATTTTTTTAAAACGTGTTTTTAAGAAATAAAGATCAGTTTCAAGCTTCTCTTAATTCCGTTTAGAGCCAAACAAATTATTAAATGAAAAATAAAAAACGGAAGTCGCTTCTAGATGCTTCCAAACTAACAACCAGATTTGCCTGTTATTGATTTTAAATAAGAGGAGTGTTTGCCGTAGGTAAATTATCAAATCTTTCAAATCTTTTTTTTTTTTACCGACGAATGTCATTTTTTGAGTATGGCGCGTATTGTATTTTGTTTGCACGTGGAGAACACTATACAATTAACTTTATCGAATCTTCCTGGATAAAACTTTTCAGAAGCAATTTACATAAAGTAGAAAAATTGCAATATCTCATACAAGTAAATGTCTCCAAATACCATAATATATCAATAATACGTAAGTTAAAATATACTAATAAAGCAATGCTGGTTTTTTTAAGGATTGAAATCGRTCAAAATTAGGGATGGTTTCTTTCACGCGAAAGCCTCGAAAGTATAAGGGATACACTATTCGAAATATGATACTTATTAACTTTAACATGTGATCGTCACGCAAAAGCGTCAGAAGTACTAGGGATACACTTTTTAAAATGTAGATATATAGCATTTTTTTATAAGTACCAAAGAAAACGCTATAAAATGCTTGAAAGACGCTTAATCACTTGATTCTACTAATGGATTTGTAAATGTCTTAACATCTTATTTCTTTACTCCTCACATACTGCAACCCACGCGTATCACAAATCACTCAGCAACTTTAATTGATAACATATTTTTTAACTCAATTTCTCACCACACTGTTAGTGGGAATATAGTATATGATATCTCTGACCATCTTGCTAATTTTCTTATTATTAATAA